CTTCAACCCACCGCACACGACCTGCCGAAACACTAACTGTGTTGGAGACAAATGGACTGATGCGTTGACAGAGGCGGGGAGGATTGAAGAAATACGCAAGGTTGTTCCAACTGACCCTAACGCCTGCTGCTGTATATTTTGAGTTCGCGTGTTCTCTCCCGTGGTCGCGTGGATTTTTCTACGAGTTCTCCGGGTTTTTCCGTCCACATTTATAAACGTCCGTTTAGAGTGTTTTTTTGCTGCTGTAAATCTCCACATGATAAGCCACTTCGGTGGGCTTTCATTTGTGATAGCCAAGTCGCCTCTGAAAAAAAAAATATATCCATGTAGCTCAGTGAGCCTTACCGAGTAAAATAAAAAAGAATAGTTTAATGTTTGGATCGAACACTGCCGACATCTGAATTGCAATTCCACGTGCGAGCCATCAGCCCACGGCGGGCAATCCGCGTTGTGATGATGGTACAGTGCTGATCCCGTGACACGTGGGTTTGAGCATGCGAGTGTCAGAATGAGCACGGTTCAGCATTAGCAGTCTCAATTTGATACATCGATGAACTATATTGAGAAATAAGTGAGAGCCCACAAAGATAAAGTCTTTTTTTTTTCTCTCTCTCTCTCTCTCACACACACAGGGAAACCTTCCTGCAGTTACAAACACGGATGTGAAAGATAATCAACTATGATCACCAGCCACGATCGACCCACTGCTGGATGGAGACTGACGTCTGAAAGTACACGGTGGTCCGGCTGTATTGTGACTCCCATTTAATTCTGTGAAACTTTTTTTTTAATGTAAGTAAGGTTTATTTGAAACATAAATATGCAAAGGATAAACCATTTTAGGGGGTCAATGAATTGGGGGTCACAAGACATCTGGGCCACTCGCACAACGCGCTAACCGTCACGCTGCGCTAATTGTCCTCTGCACTGCGTTCTACATTAATGATAATTATTAACAACAACAACAATAATAATAATACACAGAAAGACCCCGTCAGACGGGTGCCCGTGCGTTTGTTGCACGGGACAAGTGAAGGCAGACAGCCATGGGTGCCTTTTGTGTACTGCCGCGGTCACACTGCCGGGGGGGTGGGGGTCAAGGAGAGGGTGGCCCCTGCGAGGAGGCTGCACGAGTTGATGATGGCACAGCACGGAACGCGTCCCGCGGCAAAGTCCCAACGCGACGATGGAGCGACGCGATCAGCCGATGCGTGCAGGAGCCACGTGGGTGGTCACATCGCGGAACCGCGAGCGGCGGCGGCGGCTAGGGCGATGCCTTCATCCAGCGGTGGAAGGACCACGGCCGCTGATGCCGATCACCTCATTCGACCTACGAAGCTTCTTGTTGTTTTTTCGCGTTGCCTTACGTGCAGCGCGTGAAGCATATCCGGCGAATCCACCGCTCGTGAGGCATTGTGCCTGCACACCGCACCTGGAGGCGAGGGAACAAATTGGTAAAGAAGGAGGCGGGGTGGGTGTGTGAGTGTGTGTGTGAGAGTGTGTGTGTGTGAGTGTGTGAGTGTGTGTGTGTGAGAGTGTGTGTGTGAGAGTGCTGGCTAAAGTGGCCCCTCGGGATAGAGTCATCATGTTGGGTGACTTCAATGCCCGAGTTGGTCATGATACTGGCACCTGGTCTGGAGTGATTGGAGGGCATGGGCCAGATCAGCTCAATAACAACGGTAGGAGGCTGCTAGATTTTTGTGCAGCCCATGGGCTTGTAATTACCAACACGCTGTTCCGGCATCGGCGCATCCACACAACATCATGGATGCATGCCGGGTTCGAGCAAGAACATCTGCTGGACTACATAGTGACGGACCAGCGAATGCGAGCCCATGTCCTTGACACCAGGACCTACCGTGGAGCTGATCTGCCCTCTGACCATCGACTAGTCATCTGTAAGATGCGCCTGCCATTCTTCCACTCCGGTGGTGGGTGTACACCCAGGACCCCATTCCGACCTAAAGTGGCCTGGTCTCAGTTATCTGATGAAAGTTGCAAGCGAGAGTTCATCATCGCTTGCGGCTGGGATTGGCATCGTCCCCGACTCCTCCTGATGTCGAGGGTAAATGGGCGAGGTTTAGGACTGTGACTCATGCAGCTGCAATGGCTGCTTTAGGTACGCGGTCCAGACCTCACCAGAGACCCTGGCTGACAGAGGAGGTGTTCAGGATGGTTGAGAAAAAGCGACAGGCCCACTGCCATCGGCTACAGAATCCCACGTCAGAGAATGAGGAGGCTTACCGCAGCCTTCGCTCGGAGGTTCGGAGAGCCGTGAGGCACTGCAAGGATGGGTGGTGGTCACGGGTTGCTGAGGAGATGGAGTCTGCCTCAGTGGCCCGTGATCACAAATCTCTATTTAACTCCATCAAAAAAGTAACCTGCAGCGCCACACCTATTACCATCATTAGGGGAAAAAACGGTGATCCAATCTCCGACCCCCAGGAAGAGGTTTGCAGATTTGCTGAGCATTTCTGTGAGGTCCTGGGAGAGGGAAAATCCCTCAGCCAGGAAAACATCGTGGCACAAAGTGAGGATGACCCTGCTGAGGCTGCGGTGCCTCAAATATTGGAAGAAGTCACCCCCTGTGAGTGGCTGGCTGAGGTGCCATCTGCTGAGGAAGTACCGAAGGCGATCCGGAGTCTGAGACCAGGAAAGGCAGCGGGCAGAGATGATCTCCCAAGCGAAATGCTGAGGGAGGGTGGCGTTTGTGCACAGACTGCCCTATATGACATCATAACAACAGTCTGGACCACTGGACGGGTTCCGCAGGATTGGAAGATGCCCTGGTGGTCCCCCTTTTTAAGAAGGGGGACCGCACAGACTGTAACAACTACAGGGGCATCTCACTCCTCAGTGTGCCGGGAAAGGTCCTGGCAAGGATTATTCAGCATCGCCTTGCCAGGCATGCTGAGGAGAGGCTTGCGGAGCCCCAATGCGGTTTCAGGAAAGGGCGGTCCTGCACAGATGCCATATTTTCTGTCCGTCTGCTACAACAGAGGTGTAGGGAATTCCAACAAGACCTACATCTCTGCTTTATTGACCTGGTCAAGGCCTATGATACCATCAGTAGGCCTGGGCTGGGCTCTGGGTTGTTCTTCGTGCTTTTGGAGTACCTGACCCTCTGCTCACGATCATTAAGGATCTTCATGATGGTGAGCGGGCCCGGGTAAAACTACGTGGCCGGGAGTCAGAGCCATTCCCTGTACACCTTGGGGTGCGTCAGGGATGTCCTCTGGCTCCCACATTATTTAACATCTATTTTGACCACGTAGTTCATGAAGCCTTCAATAGCTGTACCGGGGGAATCTCCATATGGTACAGATATAATGGGAGGCTGATCGATGCCCGGGTGCGGTCAAGGGATGGCTCCCTATTGCTCAACCACGTTATGTATGCTGATGATTTGGTAATAGCTGCTCAGTCAGAGGAGGAGTTTGAGACGCTGCTGCTGAGACTGGAGCGTGCCACTAAGAGGTGGGGCCTTACCATCAGCCCCACCAAAATTAAGCACCTGCCTGGGTATTTTGTACCATCGGACACTCCACCCCCACAACTCCCAATCGGTGATGGGGCAGTTGTGGAGAGAGTGGAGAGTTTCCCATACCTGGGCAGTGTGCTTATGACTGGCTCCAGTTTAACAGCAGAGGTCTCACTCCGAATCAGTCGAGCGGCAATATCTTTTCATCGGTTTCGTAACGCTGAGTGGAAGCTACCTGGTCTGTCGCTCCGCACTAAGCTTCAGGTCTTCTCGGCCACGGTCATTCCCTCCCTTCTCTACGCTTGCGAAACGTGGACCCCCCTAATGGAACATCTTCGCCGGTTAGAAACATTTAGGCTGGCCTGCCTACGATCCATCCTGCGTTTAACCAGACTGGATTGTGTGAGGAGCTCACAAATCCTTGAAAGATCTGGGCAAGGTCCCATCGGTGAGCTCCTCCGGTGGGCAAGGCTGCGTTGGCTGGGTCATGTAGCCCGCATGCCCAGCCACCGCATGCCGAAACAGCTTTTGTTTGGCCGGATTGAGGGGGCTAAGCGGGCGCGGCACGGGCTAGAGAAGAGATGGAGTGATGTGGTACAGGAGGACGTGGAGCTGAGTGGACTTGCCGATGACTGGTACCAGCGGTGTCAAGATCAGCCTCTGTGGAGGAGGCTCGTGAAGGATGCTACTGGGCAGTTGGAGGCAGTCGCCCTCCAACAACAACGGAGGGCGGAGGAGCGACGCCAGGAACAACGAGTGGAGCGCCGGGTGGCTAAAGCACAGCAGGTTGGCACAGTAGGGGGCACAGGTGGTGCATCAGCCAGTCATCTCAGTCGACCCGTGGCACCTGGGTCTGCCCCGTGACCTGCCAGCGGGCGTTCGACACTTCACCTGGCCTCAATGTGCACATGGCCTGGCACAAGCGTCGTGGTGACGTCACCCCCACTTAGTGGCGAATGGCGGTTGTTGTGTGTGAGAGTGTGGGGAGCGGTAGTGTAGCGGTTAGCGCGCTGCGCTACGAACCTGGCGACCCGTTTTCGATTCCCAACACCGGTGACGATTATCTGAACCGGTCCTGGGCCTCCCCTAGGTCGACTCAACCTTAAATGAGTGCCTGGTGTGGTGCGTAAAAACATCGCCACTAGGAAGGCAAAGGCGGCTGGGCGTGGTGCTGCTGGCCACCAACCCCTTTGTGTGCCGTGCCGGCCTTCATAGGTGCTCGCTAACAGCACTTGCCCCTACAGTCTGTTACGGCCATACGGGGGATCTTTGTCTTGTGTGTGTATGTGTGTGTGTCACGACTTCCCCCCAGGGCTGCTATATTAGAGACGCGCTGCCGGGCATCAATGGCAGAGAGACCGAGTCAGGTCATCGAATCCCGCCCGCGTGCGGGGGCTGCGGCTTCCGTTGGGGCCGCGCGCGCTGCTCGTTAACGGGGGGGTGGGAGTGGGGGGTGGGAGGAGGTGGGGGGTAGGAGGGGGGAGGAGGTGGGGGGGAGGAGGGGGGAGGAGGGGGGGTGCCAATTGCCGTGCTGCTGCTGCTGCTAAATCAGTCACAGCTCCAATGAGCTGCGAGCAGCGTCTCTCTTCCATTACAACGAGATTCCCCGTCGTGTGATTTATATATATGTGTGATGATGATGATGAAGGAGAGAGAGAGAAAGTTACCTGCAGCTGTAATTCTATCTGTGAGACACCCCTCCTCGTGCTGCTGGTGGGGGCAACACGTGGGTGTCTTGAGCTTCGTGGGTCAGTCGAGTTGGTGAAAGCCACCCTCAAGGAAACAGACGATCCGACTCGTTCACGGGCCCTGCTTGGAATCAAACTCAGGTCAACAGGTTCAGAGGGCAGTGTGCTAACCCCTGCACCACGCCATTCCCACCCCATTATTATTGTCAACCTGGGTGCTTCGTCCCCTTTCACACCAGGGGCCAATTGGTAACTACCCCGCGAGTCTCACCCCAATGTTGACTCAGCTCGACAACGAATGACGTCGGCTGCAGAACGTCAACATGAGCAATGCGTCGCGATGCTGCCCACACCCGCATGCCACTGTGTGCTGTGCTCACCTTAATAGGTGCTCGCTAACAATGACTTGCCGGTATATCCCACGGTTAATTGAAATAGATGTGTTTTTTTTGCGTGTGTGATATTCAAATGCAGCAATGTATACACGACAATGCATATTAAATCGCGTAAGTTATTATCATCATACTACGATGATGATGATAACTTTTGTCAATCCACTGCTGGACGAACACCTCATGCCACATCGGTCGTGGGGTTAATTGACCATACTTCACCGCGCTGGTCAGGGCATCTCGGGGAAGCTGGGAGCTCGCGATCGCATCACGTTTATCTCGCTTTCGATGTTAGCCGTGGAGTCGAATTTAGGTGGCCGGGTTCATCGTGCGGAGCACTGACCACTACACCACTGCGCTACGCCTGAGAAAAACGCAGACTGCAGATTGTTTTTTGAGAATCAACGACACTAACTCCGACAATCCAGCTCTACCCATCAATATGCGTACGCGTGAACAGTAACAGGCATATGCAGACGAGCCGTAATTAAATCATCATCGTCGTCATCAGCCACCGTCCATCCACTGCCGGATTAGAAGCCCCCCCCTCCCCCCGTGCTGTCACCATCCCTCGTGGTCAGGCGACGACGTCCCAATCCATCTCGCGTCTGCGCATCGGCTGCGTCTCATCGCTCCATCCCTGCAGCGGGCATCCTCTCAGCTCGCCTTTCTTACTTTGGCTGCCAATCATGTTGTCGCGCGGCGCTTTCAGATGCGCTGCTTCTGCGGCCGTCTGGAACGCTCTTCCTTCAGATCTTAGGAAGCTACTGGAGCTTTGCCCTTTTAACTAATCTCGATTGAAAACGGATTGCTCCAGAACTGCTTTTTATGTTTTGTTTGATTGTCATCCCCCACACCCCCTATTAGTGCGGTTGGCTACGTACGGTGCGAAAGAAGTTCTACACACATGCAGACACTCTATGGGGCCAGGGTTCGGTTTGTATGGCCACAACGGGTTCACTCTGTGGGGCCAGGGTTCGGTTTGTATGGCCACAACGGGTTCACTCTATGTGGCCAGAGTTTGGTTTGTATGGCCACAATGGGTTCACTCTGTGGGGCCAGGGTTTGGTTTGGATGGCCACAATGGGTTCACTCTGTGGGGCCAGGGTTTGGTTTGCACGGCCACAGTTGCACTACCACCGTGGCAGCTGTGTCTTGAATGTTTGATGTGTGCAGCGACCTGGTGGTGGTGTTACGATGATCCGGGTTGATGGTTCCACCACCGGTGTGTTCGAGGAGGAGGAGGAGGTGCGATGATGTTTGGATCTCGAATGAGGATGGTGTTTATTATTCTGGACGTCCGCGTTGTTCCACTTTTTCCCAGTTGTAGCCCCTCCAACAATTGTCTTGATGATCAAAACTTCTTGGACGTGGCTTTTGGTTTGCTCATGGCTACATACAACTGTACCGTATTGGCATCCTACTCGGCAGCCATTGGAAACGTTTTTCAATTCCTTCCTGTTGTTAATTTCCACTCACTTTTTTATCATGACCCATTTCATCAGCAATGCTGAGGCGACTTCAAATGTATGCATTTGATCTATTCAATGCAATAAAAAATCAAGCCTTCTAACATGGCCGTGAATAATTTTGGATTTTTTTTTACACAGAAATGAGATACGTCCATCGTGAAACGGCGCCTCAATCATTATCCTCTCCAAGAGGGGTGATTAAACCGACTTGAAGACTTACAGATCCATTGCCTTCTTCGAAATTGTACATAATTCATTTCCATAATTCTGACTTATATTTGATGAGGTACATCTGACATTGGTGAATGCTTTCTCCATTTAATATCACAGTACGCCTTGGATTTTCGAATACTGTTTCGGAGACATCTCCTCCCGTTGATGCCGCGAGGAGCTATTGGTGAGTTCGAATCTTCTTGCTCGACTCCTCTTCTTTTTCAATTGGCATTTTGCCACTCTTCACACGCTAACTTCAGGCTCTCACGGTTCCCTCCTTAGCAAAAAATAAAATAGTTTTTTATATATAATAACGTCGTCGTTTTGTATTTGAGGCCTTGCATTGTGGCCGGCTTTGGTTTACTGCGTCCGTTTCCATCGAATGAAATGCATTTTCAGAGTCTATAGAGCCAGGCGTTATGGTATTTGATACTCATTTGTCTTTCCTGGGACCTGGTTGACAGTATTATGTGGGCAATGGTATAAGAGCCTTGTCTAAATCCAGCTTGACGGCATGTGCGTGCTTGGTTAGCCTCTACAATGTCCATCATTAGATTCCTTATAACCTATATTAACTATTTATGTACGCGTGATTGGAGGCTAATGGCTCTGTAATTTAAAAAAATTTGGTGGGTTTTTTTTTTGGTTTCCCTTTTGTGAACAGAACTACGTCGGAAGAGAGTCGAAGAACGCTCCGAGCAACATCTCTTCTTCGTAGCACCGACATTGAGAGCCCAGAGAGATGGAGCAGCTAAGAGTTGACCGCTCAACCTTACAACCAAGGTGCCTTCTGAGAATAATTTGTTTTTAATTCCAGTATTTACCCAAGAGTCGCCAGGGAACGCATCCAATCGCCGTTTTACTGGAATCTACGATTGGCATTCTCCGTATTTTCTAATGCGTTCAACGGAGTTTTGTGCACTCCCCTTGTTGTTGTTTCGATTTGTCGTGTTCTGTTGGAACACTGAAAATCGCGATCCAGAAGAGCTCTCCGGTTCGATCTCACGGCGTGGGAGTTGAAAGAGTTGATACACGTGTTTTTCACCCCCCCCCCCCGCCCCTGCTCATCCCAGCAGTGCAAATGTAGACTCCGCAGCTGTTTGGAAGCAGATCGCGTGCGGTACTCCCACGAATTCCAAGACGTCTGGCCAGGATTTAAGAATCGGCCAAAATGCCCTCCCGAAGAAGCTATCTAAAGCCCCCCTCGAGCGGAGGATCGTCCGGCAGCAGTGGCATGAGCAAGGCATTGCAGGGCTGCACTTCGACCGAGCGGAGTTTCGGCGTGGAAGATAATGCCATTGCAATATCAATAGATTGCATTTGCAGATTTGACTAAGACACACTCGTGGCTCGGAATCACGGCCAGCATTATATCCACTTGACATTGTAAACTGAAAATTCATGTGCGGTCGTTAACATGGGGTGAAAGGAAAAGTGGAGGGAGGGGGAGGGGTACAAATAATATTAATGCTAAGAAATCAATATGTGTATAATGATCAGTGGCCTAAGACTTTCATGATTAATTCCTTGCATTACTTTTAATTAACCTGCAATGTGTCCACCAAGAGCGGGAGATTTTGCCGTGAGGTAGACGGTTCCCGGACAGTGATAAATGCTTCCATTACAAAGTATCTTGTTGTACATGCACCGCAAATCTGTGTGTGTGTAATTAAAGGGCATCTGGCCACGCGGTAGTGACTTGTCGCCCAGGGGAATTGCCAGTGATGTCATTAATATGTAGACATTTATGTCTTAGTGTTGTAACGTTTTGTAAAGATTGAGCTTCGTGCATCTGGCTAATCCTCCTTCGCACCTCTGATTAGAAGTTCAACATACATATACATACAGCACATACAATCCTCTATAACGTTACTCTTTGGTTTTATTCGGTAAAGTCACGTAGGTAAAATAACAACCTCTATAACGTTCTGCTATTATATGCGTGGTTGTTATTTTCTCTGAGACCTTTAGTTTTTTCCACTAAGTGAAAATACAGTACTCCCATAATTGACTCTTCTTTAAATAGATAACACAACATCACCTTTACGACAAATAGTGGTTGTGGAGAATATAAGTTGCGATTTCTTATATAAATATATTCCAAAACGAAGCTAATGCGTCGAACTCGGACTCATTTAAGAATGTGTCCTTGCCTATAAACATTTGATGGTTCACCCAGAATTGGCTCAAGCAAGACAATCTGATGAGGCGCTGAATGTCAAACCCGTTTGCTTGCCTTGGCTGAAGTTACGTGCCCGCAGAAGGCCGTGTGGCTATAGTGGAATGTGTAAAAAAAAACACTCACTTTTAATATTTCATGTGAATGGACGGATTTATGAAGAAGGGCGTCTTGTTTGCTTATTCTAATTTGAATATAGCCACGGGACTTTGTACTTAGGTTATTTTAATGCGACTGCCCCGTGATCTCAGTGAGACAATGCTATAATTGGCAACAACAACAACCGCCATTCGCGACGAAGTGGCGGTGACGTCACCACGACGCCTGTGCCAGGCTATGTGCACGTTGAGGCCACGTGAAGTGTCGAACGCCCACTGGCACGAGGTCACGGGACAGACCCAGGTGCCACGGGTCGACTGACTGAGATGACAGGCTGATGCACCACTTGTGCCCCCTACTGTGACAACTTACTATGCTTTAGCCACCAGGCGCTCCGCTCGTTGTTGTGAGCGTCGCTCCTCCGCCCTCCGTTGTTGTTGGAGGGCGACTGCCTCCGACTGCCCAGTAGCGTCCTTCACGAGCCTCCTCCACAGAGGCCGATCTTGACACCGCTGGACCAGTCATCGGCAAGTCGACTCAGCTCCACATCATCCTGTACCACATCGCTCCATCTCTTCTCTAGCCCGTACTGTGCCCGTTTAGCCCCCTCGATCCGGCCAAACAAAAGCTGTTTAGGCATGCTGTGGCTGAGCATACAGGCTATATGACCCAGCCAAAGCAGCCTTGCCTGCCAGAGGAGCTCACCGATGGGACTTTGTCCAGATCTTTCAAGGATTTGTGAGCTCCTCACACAATCCAGCCTGGTTAAACCCAGGATGGATTATAGGCAGACCAGCCTAAATGTTTGGAACCAAATAAGATGTTCCATGAAAAGATATTGCCGCTTGACTGATTCGGAGTGAGACCTCTGCTGTCAAACCAGAGCCGGTCATGAGCACAATGCCCAGGAATGGGAAACTCTTCACTCTCTCCACAACTGCCCTATCACCAATTGGGAGTTGTGGGGGTGGAGTGTCCGATGGTACAAAATACCCAGGCAGGTGCTTAATTTTGGTGGGCCTGATGGTAAGTCCCCACCTATTAGTGGCAAGCTCCAGGTTCAGCAGCAGCGCCTCCAACTGCTCCTCTGAGTGAGCAGCAATTACCAGATCATCGGCATACATAAAATGGTTGAGCAATAGGGAGTCATCCCCTGACCGCACCCGGGCATCGATCAGCTTCCCATTGTATCTGTAGCAGATGGAAATTCCTCCGGTACGGCTATTGAAGGCTTCACGAACTACGTGGTCGAAATAGATGTTAAATAATGTGGGAGCCAGAGGACATCCCTGTCGCACCCCAAGGTGAACAGGGAATGGCTCTGACTCCCGGCCACGTAGTTTCACCCGGGCCCGCTCACCATCATGAATGTCCTTAATGATCGTGAGCAGAGGGTCAGGGACTCCAAAAGCACGAAGAACAACCCAGAGCCCAGGCCTACTGATGGTATCATAGGCCTTGACAAGGTCAATAAAGCAGAGATGTAGGTCTTGCTGGAATTCCCTACACCTCTGCTGTAGCAGACGGAGAGAACATATGGCATCTGTGCAGAACCGCCCTTTCCTGAAACCGCATTGGGGCTCTGCAAGCCTCTCCTCAGTGTGCCTGGAAAGGCGATGTTGAATTATCCTTGCCAGGACCTTTCCCGGCACACTGAGGAGTGAGATGCCCCTGTAGTTGTTACAGTCTCTTCCGTCCCCCTTCTTAAAGAAGAGGACCACCAGGGAATCCTTCCAATCCTGCGGAACCTGTCCAGTGGTCCAGACTGTTGTTATGATGTCATGTAGGGCAGTCTGTGCACAAACGCCACCCTCCCTCAGCATTTCGCTTGGGAGATCATCTCTGCCCGCTGTCTTTTCTGGTCTCAGACTCCAGATCGCCTTCAATAGTTCCTCAACAGATGGCACCTCAGCCAGCCACTCACAGGTGGTGACTTCTTCCAATATTTGAGGCAACGCAGGCTGAGGGATTTCCCCTCCCCCAGGACCTCACAAAATTGCTCAGCAAATCTGCAAACTTGTTCCTGGGGGTCGGAGATTGGATCACCGGTCCTTCCCCTCATGATGGTAATAGGTGTGGTGCTGCAGGTTATTTTTTTGATTAAGTTAAAGATCGATTTGTGATTGTGGGCCATTGAGCCAGAATCCATCTCCTCAGCAACCCGCGACCACCACCCATCCTTGCAGCACCTCACGGCTTTCCGTACGTCTGAGCGAAGGCCTTTTCATTATCTGACGTGGGATGTTGTAGACGATGAGAGTGGGCCTTTCGCTTTGTCTCAGCCAGTCTGAACACCTCCTCTGTCAGCCAGGTTATCTGGGGAGGTCTGGACCGTGTACCCAAAGCAGCCATTGAAGCTGCATAAGCCACAGTCCTAAACCTCGCCCATTACCCCTCGACATCAGGAGGAGTGGGGGGACGATGCCAACCCCAGTCGCAAGCGATGATGAAATTCTCGCTTGCAACTTTCATCAGCTAGCTGAGACCATTCCACTATGGGTTTGAATGGGGTCCTGGGTGTACACCCACCACCGGAGTGGAAGAAAGGCAAGCGCATCTTACAAATGACAAGTCGATGGTCAGTGGACAGATCAGCTCCACGGTAGGTCCTTGTGTCAAGGACATGGGCTCGCATCCGCTGTTCCGTCACTATGTAGTCCAGCAAATGTTCTTGCTTTGACCCGGCATGCATCCATGATGTTGTGTGGATGCGCCGATGCCGGAACAGCATGTTGGTAATTACAAGCCCATGGGCTGCACAGAAATCTAGCAGCCTCCTACCGCTGTTATTGAGCTGATCTGGCCCATGACTTCCAATCACTCCAGACCAGGTGTTAGCATCACGACCAACTCGGGCATTGAAGTCACCCAACAAGATGACTCTATCCCGAGGGGCCACTTCAGCCAGCACCTGTGACAGGAAGTCATAGAAGGCATCTGACTCATCGGCCTTGCCTGCATCCCTCCATGGATGTTCGTCATCGGTGGGGGCATAAGTAACCACAACCATCACTCCTCGCCTCTGGTTGATGGGAAGGCGAGCTCAAAGTAGCCTGGGGCTTACAGCTTCCCACACCTCACCGTCATGCTCCCACGACTCCTTCATTCTTTTGTTCAGAAGAAAAGCCACTCCCTGTAATGTGCAACACTCGCACACACATGCATGCAATGTGAGTATTCAGTAATATTTACATCCTATGAATCTCCGAGCACCTCCATTGTGAATCGCCAACATTTGGACTCTGCCTCTGCTTAATGAATGATATGCAAAGTGCAGCATGCAGATTTACCGCTAGCCTGCGCTTTGCAAATATTTTAGTGCCAGTGTAGTCAGGGTTGCTGCCTTGTTTGTAATGGGGAGGACAATGCACTTGCAATCCACACATTGGACTTTCAATCCAGGGGTTGGTGGCGGTTCAATTTCCTGGCATATCAGTTGACAGAATGGTGCAATTTTCTGCAATCTCCCCCCATTCCACCCTCCTCAGCCTGTCCACCCAGCAGTACTGATGTATACACCACAGTGGGTTGGCAGAGCGCGTGCAGTGGGGTAAATTGTGGGTACTCCCACTCCTTCCAAGACGTTTGACCAGTGTGGAAGAATAGGCCAAAGATACCCAGGAGAGGGAGCTCTCTAGAACTCGCTCTAGTGGAGGCCCACTAGAGGGAGACATTGCAGGGCTGCGCCTTTGCCTTTTGCTGTAACTTTGCAAACGGCTCGTTATGGAATTGTCCAGACAGTCTAACATTGTCTCGACTGATTAAACGTTGTCTTAGGACTCAATGAGTGCCTCCTGGATTAATAAAGCTGTGTATGGCGGTTGATGTTGTTGGTATTATTATTAACGTTCATTGTTTGCTAAAAAAAATGGTTCAGAAAGCCTCTGTTGAATAATGATACGAGTTGAACAAGGCTTATGAGTGGGCCCTCCAAACACCATCACTACCAGCCACTGACATTTCTAAAGGACACATTTATTTATTGCACATATTTATAAAGGGTAGTCCCATTTTTCTAATGTCCAATAGTTCACATTGGACCTGCGGCAAAATACGGTACTTCAAGTAAAATATGTTATTTTTGTCCACTTAAGAGGCCTGCTATCCATAAACAATAAACAACTGCAACGCCGATGAAAACACGACTAATAGACCCCAGTGCAATAATGACCATTTCGATTACTGTAGCTTAATGTGTTTAATGTGGCGATATTTCTTCGTGCCATATTAAAATCATTCCTTAAAGATTAGCGCGGTCGTGGATACTGGAGGCATTTGTACTACAAAAGTTAACTCGTCCAATCAAACTAACGTGGTTTTTTGTTGTCATTTGTATTTACGCGTGCTTTATTTTTTTATTTGCATGCCTCGAGGGGGAATGTGGCATTGCCAAGGTTACATTTGCACGGAACAGCGCAATCGCAGCGCCATCTGGCGCCTGGTGGTAGAAATGCTTCGACAATCGGAATTGAAAGGAACAGTTGTGGTTAAAATCAGACGCTGAGCACAGGGCCCAACGGTCCAAAGCGCCAAGCAAATCAGCAACACACAGAACAGCTCTTTTTCAATGTAAAAGACAATCGGGAATGCGTGTCTTGAGCGTAGCAAGGTTCGTATTCTTGGTTCTTTCGGTAAAGTCACGTAGTAGGCGTAAAATACAAATAAATTAAATCACGACGTTTCGGGCGCAACACATCAGGTAAGGAGAACCACATCAAGACACACTTGCTGAAGTAGGCAAAAGAGCTGCTAGTAACTAAGGGATTATATAAGGTTGTCCCCACCTGATGACGGACGCTTGTGTTGCGCCCGAAACGTCGTGATTTAATTTATTTTTTATTTTATTTTATACCTACGTCACGTAGATAGGTTCAGAGAAAATAACAAAAAAATAACCAAAAATGTATTTGAACCTATCTACGTGACTTTACCGAAAGACCCAAGAATATGAATTCCTGCGAGTCACGAAAGCTTTAGGTCAAGACGTAGCAAGGAAGGTTACGAGGACTTAGGCAAAGCGACGATGGGGAGGGAGATAGGGGGAAGTCCAAGGTGGAGCAGAGTGGTGGTCGAACAGTTTGGACAGGGTATACAAGCCAGGCTGGTAGACCGAGTCCCCAACGCAGGTGGAGGAATCAACGGGTGAAGTTCCTGGGAACAGAGACCATGGTTGTAGTCGTAGTAGCGATAGACGAACGATAAGGAGGTGATGGCAGGCTGATTTTTTTTTATTTCAGTCTAACTCGTCGACAACGTGATATCCAAAGTATTGGTGTCTCCAACGT